AAAAAAAAAAAAAAAAAAGAGAAAATAGAGGTTCTAAGTACCTGTCTTGGTCAGTTTTGTGCTGCTATAACAGAATACCTTAGACTGGATAATTTATAACTACCAGAAATTTATTGGCTCACAGTTGTGGAGGCTGAGAAGTCCAAGATCAAGGCATTGGCAGGTTTGGTAATTATGATTCTAAGATGGCACCTTAAACACTGCATCCTCACATGGTGGAAGGCAGAAGGGCAAAAAGAGAGCAAGAGGGGACTGAACTTGCCTTTTTATAATGGCATTCATTTCACCCATGAGGGTGGAGCTTTCATGACCTAATTACCTCTTAAGGGTCTCACCTCTTTATACTGTTACAATGGAAATTACATTTCCACATGAGTTTGGAGGGGACAAACATTCAAACCGTAGCAGTAAGTATCCTGAGAAAGTTCTTCTATGATAAGATTGTAAAGCATACACATGCACTTTATATCATCTACTTTTGTTGATCAAAAACTTATTTTGCTAATACCCAAGTTGCTGGAAAAATGACTCTGGGATAAGCGAACCACAAGGAAATGTCTGATAGACTTTATTATTATGAATTTATTTTTTTGAGACAGGGTCTCCCCTCACTCTGTCACCCAAGCTGGAGTGTCGTGGTGCCATCTCAACCCACTGCAGCCTCAAACTCCAGACTCAGGTAATCCTCCCACCTTAGCCTCCGAGTAGAAGATGACAGGCATGAGCCACCATGCCTGGCTATAATTTTTTCTTAAAAGTGTAATGCAAAGCTGGACTTAAAGCAGAGATATAATTTCATTTTTTGAGAAAAATTCTTTTAAATTGAGTTGCCAAAATGGTCTTAGTTTCACAAATATAAAGGAAATGGAGAATAGTTTTCCCTGAAATGTGATTGGTGACTTTAAGGCTCTGCAGTTTGTGAAAGTGTTCTGATGGGTGTTATAAAGTGGATGCATCTTCACTTTAGCTGAGTGAATCCTAACGTCCAAAAGAAAGGTTATCTTTGGTGTTTCTGGATAGTCTTCCCTATGTCTAAAAAGTTTGGTTTGTTCCTGGAAGAGTGAAAGTGCGTATGTGCCCATGCAACATGTGCGTGCCTTTCTGGTCCAAGCATTTACTCATAAAAGATTATGAGAAGAAGGAAAGAGATAATGGAGGCTTGTTTTTATCTTTATTTCACACTGAAGGGAAAGACTAACAAAAATTTACTGTTCTGTGTACTATCACTTACATTGGATTGTGGGGGTTAACACGGGGTTATTTATGACAAAATAAGAAATGGGAAAGGTTACCTTGTGTGATGGCTTTGTCTGGGCTCTGGGGAACAGGCTGTATCTTGCAGATTATAGAGGGGATTTTTGCCTAACTCAAACTTTGGACCCTGCGAGGAGTTCTCCCTCTCATTATAAGGCCTGTCTTCTTTCCTGCCCCAGGATGATAGCCACTGGGCTCCATGGTCAGGAGGTGCCTGGAGATTGCTGATGACAGGGCTCCTTCTAACCCGCAGCCCTGGGAAAGCTGATGGCTATTGCACTGTGGGTCCCTTAGTCACATTTGGAAGCCAATGTAAGGCTGTCTCTATGCTATACTCCTAGTATTCCTACGCTTTCAGAGATGTTTTAGTAAAGATTACTTATTTTCCATTCTTTGGGAAATTAAGGGAGAATCCTCAGAGGAAAAGTAGTAAAAGCAAGTGAAATATCCTAGAGAAACCAGTTAAGCGAATGCAAGAGGTTGTAAGCCAAGCTCCACAGCCACAGCCACAATGGCCTAGCCAAGATGGCTGCTGGTGGTCATCTGTGGAACATAAAACCATATTTTGGGGTTTCCCAAGGAAATGTGGGCTTTTGACAAAACTACATATAAACAATCGCATTTTGTTGGTAGAGCTCAGTGGCTTTAAAAAATTGAAGTACTGTCACAAACACTAGGGCAGCTAAGGTCACATTGGTTACACGGTACCTAAATTCATCTCTGTTTTGCTATAGATACTATGAGTGCTAAAAAAAAGAAAAAGAAAAAAAATCAGTTTTTAAGCAGTTTATAATGCCACCCCCCCCATAAAAAATTCCTAAATTGTGTTCTGTGGAACACCAGTTCTCTAGCATATTAATAGGTGTTATAAAAATAAAAAAAGAGGTGTCTACAGTTAAATAACTTCGGGAAATAGTGAGAAAAGCAACGATAAATAAGTTTATCACAAGACTTCTTAGAACCTTTGTATACCAATGTGAATTGTGAAGCTCTGAGAAAGGTTTATAAAAATACGGCTTTTCCAAAACATATTTGACTTTGCAAATTTATTTTGTTAAGCATGCAGACAAAGGTCAGTGCTCTGAAAAATAAACTTTTGAAAATACCAACCTAGTACAATCTCTTTTAAAGTACCAATACTTAAATATATAAGACAGTCAAACCAGTTTCCTTT